GGTCTAAATAATTAAGTGGGCATATGGAGCTAAATTGGGGCCATAAAATTTGGTAAAAATTAATCTGAAAATTGAACAAAAAATATTTGAATTTGATTTAAAAAATGTTTTTCATATTACTTGTATCATATAATTAAATGTATATGACACAACGGCCTGCCATTTACTTTTAATTATATGATACAAGTAATATGAAAAACATTTTTTAAATCAAATTGAACAATAAAACATTTGAATTCGATTTAAAAATGTTTTTCAAATTACTTGTATCACATAATTAAAAGTATATGGCAGGCCGTTGTGTCGTATAAAAAATATGTTGCAGGTTATGAACAGCAGGCTGTTGTATCACATAATAAAAATAGGGCAGGCCATTGTATCACGTAATCAGAAATCCATGTTTTTCCCCAGTTTTATAACTTTTCTTATAAGTTTTGATTTTTTTTGTTTCAAAATTATATTTCAGCTTCAAATCTTTTTTTTTTCATTTCAAAATCTTCCTTTCATTTTCAAATAATATTCATTTCAACAAACTTTATGGCCTCAACTTAGCTCTACAGCTCATCAGTTAATGAAATATATTTTAAAGTGTATCATAAATTCAAAGAAAGTCAATAAAATTCCCATGTGTGTAAGTTAATACCAAGTGGTCATAATGTTCTGGCACTAAAGCAAAACTGCAATAAACTGCTTCAATTCTTGACCACCTCAGAAAACTATGGTCTGTTTAAGCACAGCTGATTAAAACAAGTAAATAAACGGAAAAGTAACATGAATTGATTAAAAAGAAACTGAGTGGAAAACTTTGTAGCTTCTCATCAAAAAGCAGCCTTGATAAAAACCGCACTGTTTTTGTGCACCTGGGATCAGATCAAATATAAAGAAAGAGAGAAATACTTTCTGAGTAGACCACTTCCTGTACAGCAATGGCCTTGTTTATGTCAGAAACTGCATTAGGAATGCAAATCAGATACACAAATGGCCTGATTTGTTTACCAAACAGATCTTCTCATTTCCTCAAGATTTAATTGTTCCAAACTTACTTCAGATGGACTTCTTCCAGTTTTCATTTTGCATTTTACACAACCGTTTCTGGAAAACAGGGCTGTAATTTTATAAATATATTAAAGGTAAAGTTACACAAATTTAAATACTGAGTGATGCACAACATTCACCCTGAATCTCAACAAGAATTTAAAACAAGGCAGAGCTTTGTGTTGATTTTAAAAAAGTGTGTTTCCAGATCGCTCAGGAGCAGATAGTGAGCGCAGCATGTGGACACGCATGCAGAATACAGTGTGAGTGAGTGTGTGTGTGTGTGTGTGTATGTGTGTGTGTGTGTGTGTGTGTGTGTGTGTGTGTGTGTGTGTGTGTGTGTGTGTGTGACAAACAAACGAGACCCTAAAGCAGTTCAAACTGATTCAGCTTCAATCCGAAACGTTCCAGTGATTCTGAACACAGCGTCTCAGTTTTGTGGGTATTTTCATTTTTAAAAAAAACCCTTCGTTTCTGTTCTGAGTCTTGGTAAAATTTCTTTTTCTTCTTTTCTGTCCACTTCAGCGTCATCTGACCCTGGACCGCTTGACAACGATCGTCCCAGCCACCATGTCGTACACAGTCCTGTTGTGCTGGAAGAAGAGGAGCGTGATGAAGGCCGGGAAAAAGAAGGCGATGGAAAAGTTCTTGTTCAAGGCTCGAACCGTCGACCTGCAGGGGGCRACAGAAACAAGCCATCGGTGTCCATATGTAGTTCAACTTTAAAAAGTCTGAAAAACTGAACTGGTTTCCTGCGTTAATTCAGGCTTTCAATCAAATGTGTTTCTAACAGCTCGTTTCAAAATTTTATTTAAAAATATGCCATAGGCGTCAGTGTTGATGTTGGCGTCACGACGATGCATCACTACAGGGGAGGTGCCTCCAGCTGGAGTCCACGGCGTGGAAAACCAAGTCAAAGACTTGTCACCCGATGTTATTTATCCACAAATCTGTCCCGGTTAAAGCTCCACAGTTTTTATCAGTGAGATTCCTCCGAGCAAAATGCCCGTTTTATCTGCACCCAGGAGTTTTTGTCCGTTTCTCTTTATAAACCGCTGCTTCCTGGTTCAACAGCCGGCTCTGGAAGCGAGTGGTTGAAGCAAAATGCAGCGTCTGAGAGCATTCAAGACAAACAAACACTCCCACCAACTTCTGACCAATCACACAATAAAGTTCTTATGTTAAAACTGATGTTTTATTAGTATTATTAAAACATAATACTATGTTTTAATATTTGATTAAAATACAGTATTTTAGAATATATTCTAGTATAGTTAGAATACCTTTGATCAAACCGCCAGTTAAGTGATACATGCAACTAGACTTGGACTTGAGGTCAAGAGACCTGAGACTTGACTTGGATTTTTGGTCATAAACTTAGACTTGATTTGGATTCTTGGTCAAAGACTTAAACTTGACTTGGATTTTTGGTCAAAGACTTGAGACTTGACTTGGATTTTTTGGATTTTGAGACGACTTGGATTTTTGGATTTTGAGACTTGGATTTTTGGTCAAAGACTTGAGATTTGACTTGGACTTGCAAAAAAAGACTTGTGCACATCCCTACCTCATTGCAACGATGCCAATGTGTTAGCACAAGCTAAATTAGCTTAGCTAATGTACCCTGTATCTGCAAGCTATGAGG